ACAGGCCCGGCTTTCTTTCTTTTTTAAAAATATTTTATTGATTTCAGAGAGGAAGGGAGAGGGGGAGAGAGAGAGAAACATCCATGATGAGAGGGAATCATTGAGGGCTGCCTCCTGCATGACCCTCTGGGGGTCGAGCCTGCAACCCGGGCCTGTGCCCCGACCGGGAATCCAACCGTGACCTCTGGGTTCAGGGGTCGATGCTCAGCCCCTGAGCCGCGCCAGCCGGGCAGCTGCCTATTTTGTGGGAAGTTAGTGCCTGGTGTCCAGATGGTGAAGGGGACGCAGCAAAGGGGGGGAGGGGAGACGGAGGGGGCGGCAGGGGTGAAATCGAGACACTTCCCAAGGCCGAGGCTCAATGGCGCGTCATTTCTCTTCCCCGGGGCCCTTTCACGCGTTCCTTTTGCTGCCAGGGCATGAAATGAAGTGGTTTTTAATTTACGGTTCTTTTATCTTCTTTATTTGCCTAGATTTTGTTTGCAACAGATGACTTTTTTGCTCCTGCAGAAAACCTGATAAAGGTACGGTGCACGGGAGAGGCGGTGCTGACGGGCAGTGGGCTGTGGGCCCACGAGAACGCACACCCTCCCGGGCGGGGGGCGGGGCCACAGGGAGCTGGCGTGAGGACAGCACGCGTGTGTAGAAGTCAGCGCAGACTCGGGAGCTTCGGGGCCGCGTGGCGTGAGGGGAAGTTACTGAGTCGCTCACCCACTGCCCCTCGAGTGGAGGTCGGCATCCGCGCTGGGGAGAAAAGTGGAACACATCTTGCATTTTTGGGAAAATGTTTACCTGCTTAATAAGCAGAGGGTAGGGCATGTTTCTTTAAAACAAAGCACAGATGTTAGTTACTGACCCGTGGGGCCTCTTGGCTTAGAGTGACAGCCCGCGTTTTGAAGAGCATAAATACACTGAGTTTGGCAGGTGGATGGACGGATGGGAGACCAGACGCAGGAGGACTCCAGGTGAGCGGAGGACCCTCCCAGGGAGGGGGAGGCCGAGTGGGGACCACGCGTTGTCTTCCGCCAACACCCAGAAGGTTGCACACGGCTGTGGGAGAGCCGGGCACACGTTGGGTCTGATTTTTGTTGTTTGTTTGTTTGCTTTTGTTAATCCGCCCCTGAGGGTGATTGTCCATTGATTCTCAGAGAGAGTGGAAGGGAGGGGGAGAGACAGAGAGACAGCGATGTGAGAGAGACACGTGGATGGATTGCCTCCTACACAAGCCCTGACCAGGGCAGGGACTGAGCCTGCAACCGAGGTACATGCCCTTGATTGGAATCGAACCCGGGACTCTTCAGAGAGCCAACGCTCTATCCACTGAGCCAAACCAGCTAGGGCTGGTGTTGTTTTATTGATTTTAGAGAGAGGAATGGAGAGAGGGAGAGAGAGAGAGAGAGAATCATGGATCGGCTGCCTCCTGCACACCCCCTACTGGGGATCGAGCCCACAACCCGGGCCTGTGCCCTGACCGGGAATCGAACCCTGTTCAACCATGAGCCACACCGGCTGGGCAAGTCATTGGCGTTTTAGTTTCCTCCGTCCCCTGCCTCCCCGGCCGACTTGGCCGTGACGGCTGCTCTGTCCTGTGCGTCCCGCAGGTCACGACTGGTGCATTGTCAGGCTGGGGGTCCAGGGCCTGATCCGGGGCCTGGACGTGGACATTTCCTACTTCACGGGAGGCTACGCCCCTCGGATTTCAATCCAAGCAGCAAACCTGGAAGAAGGTGCCGTGGGGACCTCTGACCCAGGCGGCTCCGTGGGGCCGGGAGGCTCAGCCATCCCCCTGACCATGCGTTTCCAACCGGACGGGCTCAGCAACCGGTCAAGGCCACTGGGTGGCCACTGCCCTCGAGCTCGGATTCCCACGCCTGCTCTGTGATTTCCGATTGTGAACTGAGCAGTGTCCTTTGACCCGGCCTTATCCCCACACTCTCCAGCGGGCTCTCCGGGCGCCCTCCTGCAGCCAGGAGGGGGGGGAAGGGGGGGCGGGGGGCCCCGGAGGCACAGGGCTCCTCAGATAGAGCCGCCTTTCTGGCCCTTCACCGGCAACATCTGATGTTGGTCCCGGAAGTAACTTTGGAGAAATAAGTGCCATCATGCGTGTGGACAGACACGTATGTAGGAACATAAGTCGTGTCCGCTGGCGAGTTGATGCTTAAAGATGATGGCGTCCGAGGCTCCGCTCCCGAAAGGCAGGGGGAGGGGGGCTGGACGTTTAGTGATGATGGGAGGGGTCACTCTGGGAGCAGGAAGTGCCTCAGGCCAGACGTGCACGCTCTTGGCCGCAGGTGCCTCTGCTTCTATTTCTCATGCCCCCCCCCCCCTGGGTTGGTCAGCGAGGACGCCCTGGAGGCAGCTCCGGGAACTGCCCTTGGGGGGGTGGGGGGGGCCCTGTGAAAGCTCTGGTCCTGGACAGATTCGCTGAGTGTGGCTTCACCTGGAAACGGTCCCTGTGCTGGCGAGCGAGCGTACAGCAGGCGCGGCGGCCGCACTGCTTTTGAAATGGCTGCTGGTGTCTCACACAGCGAGCGGCTTCCACCGGGCGACACTCCGACTCAAGAAATGCCATTTGTGTTATTTGGCAAAATGACAGTTTCCATACCCCCTCTACGAGCGCGGGGTTATTTATTCACTTAAATATATATTTTTATTGATTTTAGAGAGAGGAAGGGAGAGGGACAGAGAGAAGCATCATTGATGAGAGGGAATCATGGACCGGCTGCCTCCTGCACGCCCCGCACTGGGGATCGAGCCCACAAACCAGGCCCGTGTCCCGACCGGGGATCGAACCGTGACCTCCTGCTTCCTAGGCTGATGGTCACCCCTGAGCCCCGCCGGCCGGGCGAGCGCAGATTCTTTTTGATTTTGAATGTGAACCCTGAACCCTAACGGTCGCTCTAACTTCAGGTAAAGAACCAGCAATGCCCCCGAGAGGAGTCAGGATGGGAGTGGCTGCCACCGCCGAGGAGCTGGACGCCGTCGCTAAGGTGCGTGGCCGGACAGGAGGGTCTCGTCTGAGGCTGAGGACC